TAACTCTTTGCCTCTGAATTAGATTAATTATATTTATTTTACTGAGTTTTTTTAAGACGTTTAACTATGATTTAAAAGGCTTAACAGTTTTTCAATTCGGTTGGCTTTAACCCTTTGGTTATGAAACATAGTTTTTTTTTTGTTTGGATGCTTTAGCCCGTTTGCCCAGAATTATGAGGTCAGTATATTATCTCTCTTTTGTTTAATGGCTGTATGTTTCACTTTTAATAAGAAAATCATATTTCACAATAAGATGTAATGAAAGTAGTTATGGTTAAAAAAAAACGAGGCCGAGTATGAGTAACAGCGCCATCTCTTGAGCTAATATATAACTAATATAAAAGATTGAGAAATGTGATGCAACAGGAAATCACGAAGAGCTAACTTTAAAATTCGCTGCCATTTCTATTAATCGATTACTGTTTGGTATGTATTCTACTTAATTTCATAATTATTTGATATTCTTAATCAGTAAGTTTGAAATTTGGGTTACACACATACACACACACACACACACACACACACACACACACACACACACACACACACACACACACACACACACACACACACACACACACACACACACACACGCTTGAATACTTTTGTTATTTGTAAAAAAAAAATTGGGACATCAATCTTCCATTTATAGGATATTGGAAAAGTCACAATGTTGCATTGCTTTATCTTTTTTTTTATGAAGATAAGATAGAACAAATATAAAACAACAAAAAATAAATAAACAATAAAATAGGAACGCAAACCATTACAAGATGGAATGATATATACAAAACGTAAAATTACTTTTAACAACTCTACAAGATCAACAAGATATTTAAGTCAGTGAAAAATAAACAAAATCATATTAGCAGTTTACTAAATTTAAATAAATGACAACAAAATAATAACTATCAGATATATCTCAGATCCAAACTTAAGTGACTGTATTCAGTGTATTTTCCATCATTTGTTTTTGAGTCTGCAGATATACAATCATTAATGCCATTTATTTATATATACTCTACTGCATCTTTATTTTTCTACTCTTTATACCCCATTCTGTCCATGAACAAACATCATTGTCAAGGGAAACCCATCACCACTGACGTCACCCACAGGAAAACTTCAATCTGACGTGGTACATGGCAACAGCGGGAGTTGCGTGACTCCCAGGGACAGCTTTCGCATATTATTGTTTGTGGTGTTGCTTCTCGATATACCAAACCATGGTCTTGCACTATACGTATATTTGTAATCTCGGAAATATAATCTTTATCAACATGAAATTCATATGCTAATAGATTTTGATAAGAAGTAATGCAATAATCTAGGTCTAATAGTAGGTCTATCATTACAGCAGATATGATAAACAAATAGTGCTGAATTTATATCAAAGGTAAAGTTAAATTTGTGAAATGCAACAAAATCCACAAAATGGTTACATGTTGTATTTTTACTGTGGGAAATACACCAAATCGTGAACAGAAGGCAACTAATAAAATTTAAAACTTTCCGCAAACATGAAATGGCGGAGCCGCCTGGCAAGTTTCCAGTGCCGATTTCCCAATTCGCACACCTTTATTATATATTCTTTGCTTCATGTTTTTTTTTCTCTAGTTTAACCTCTAGGTGATAATGTTCACAGTTCTTTAATACGGAATAATTCAAAATCCGATTATCTTATATAAATATATTACAGTGCTAATTTTTACTTGAGTGCAACACCTCTACATCAGTAAGGCGGATAATAACATTTTCAGTGCTAAACTGAATCACTATTGTACCTAAAAATACCCGAAGAAGCAAAGCCAAGGTAAATAAAGTAAATGGCGCAATACTTCTGTTTCCAAGAGACATCCGGCTGTCCGTCCTTACTCAGGGGTGCGGGAGATTGCGAAATGATGCACAGTTTCAGTTATCAGGGACGGCTGTATGTCATATAGCTGTCCATAACGTTTATGGTGGCTTTATGCTGTCACATTACTTAAAAACTTTTAGGGGGAAAGAATGTAGGTCTACGAAAAAAATATCACTTATATGTCATGCTATTATCAGGATATTCTCTTTTATGTTCAAATTTGATAACATCTTAATGCAAACTGGGTGTGATATTTTCATCATTGTACGATCTATAACTAAAGTTACTAAATGCAATTTTTTTTTATAAAATTCCAACCGGACCTCAGTGCCAGCGGTATGTGGAGAATGAGAAATGGCAACTGAACTGACATCGACAAATACATTTGCTTCATACAAATAATGTGCATTGCAAGCAAGGTCAGTGATAAATATGTCCACATCAAGAGTCCACACAAAATCACGATAACTTCTTCAAGCCCTTGCGATTCTGTTATATTCCAAATGCAATGTAGCTTAAATAACTACAAGTAAAACACCGCAACAAAGATAGATGCTTTACACAAAATGAACTTATTAGAGATTCACTCAACTGCCGTTTAAGTAACCAGCACATCAAGCACCCGCCCTCGAAGGGAGCCGCCGCATTAATGGACACGTCTTGTCAGACAGAGAGAGAGATGGCAGACAGACGACGGCACCCGGTTTAGCTTCTCCACTCCGTCCTCGGCATCCGGGGAGACGGGGGTTTCTCGAGGGTTTTACAAGTTTCATTACCCGCCCTATGACGATTTCATGCCGCTCTGACAATTGGGGCAAGGTTGGCGAGCGAAATTAGCAGAATCAGCTTCTGAAGCGCTGCCTCCCCGCCTGATTTTTTTTTTTTTTATAAATGAACCATTCTAGAAGCATTTTAAGCTACAGCTAGAGTTCTAAAGATGCAATTTTGGCAAAATAAAAGTCGTGAATGTAGCCCAGGGGGGAAGGGAGGCAGGCCAGACCTTGAGGGGGGAAGGCTGTCTTGGTGAGCAATTACTCCCTCAGCCCCTAGCCTCAAATGACGTCCCTGCTCGTACCAATGTTTTATTTTCCCTTCCACAAGAACTTTGTCTTGCGTGGTAGATAGCTAACTTTAAATACATTTAGGTACGGTCACAAGTTGTGACCAGCAAGTTGCTGGTCACACGGGCGAACCGAACCATCGCGTCTCCGCTCGGATACTGAAACGATGTGTGTGGGTTCAATCGTGGTTGCAGAGATGAAATAGTGTGTGTCATAATCTGCCACAAGAAATTCGTTTGGAAGAAAATATAGATAAGCTCCTTTGAGGAACTTGGATATGTAAACAATGCTGGCGTCAAGGATACTTCCAAATGGATTTCCACTTGAAGACTATACGGTTGTTAAATGTAACATTTATTCAAAATCATATTAATTGGAATATGTATGATTATTATTATCTGTGTAGTTGACTATTTTTTTCTTAGCAAACTATAAGATATGTAAAGCTCTCTGTGACTTTAGTGTCCTCGCCGCAAGCACGTACCGACCGAACAGGTTCTCTCAGCAGTCCTGGATCTTGGTCCAGGAGACCTCTAGACCCAGGGGGTTCCCTTCATTGTTTAGGGTTTCCAGAGACTCAGAATAGCAAAAGCATCAGGAAAGTCAATGTCGGTAACCTTAATATTGCCCACTGATGCTGCACATTGTTTTTGGACAGTAGCTCTGCCCAGTATCCAAACCATGCAAGTGTTGAAAAGTGTTGGTGCAAGAACACAGCCTTGCCTCGCTCCTGATCTAACAGGGAAGAAGTTCGACAGCCCTCCACCGCAATATACAGCACTTTCAGTACCAGTATACAGGCTTGCTATTATTATTTGCACAATACCGAACGTCTTCTAGAGGTCGATGTAAGCTGCAAGCAGCCCACGACCGAACTCACGACAGCGCTCTATAATGACTCAAAGCGCTAGGATGAAGTCTATTGTGGACTTCGCAGATTATTCCGGCCTCTAGTGCTTCAGCAGGTATGCTAAGCAGTGTAATGCCTCAGTGATTGTTGCAGTCTCTTTCCGTTTTACCTAACAGAAAGGGTTGGCTACATCCCTCAACAGGTCAGGGGGAATGGTACCAGTCTGCCAGATGGTAGACATGACAACATATTCGCCATAGGTTCACCAACAGCCTTTAACACTTCAGCTGGGATGCCGCAGATACCAGCTGCTTTACCACTTTTAAGCTTGGAGATTGCCTCCCCCCCATATATATATGTGTGTGTGTGTGTGTGTAATACATATGTATATGTATATGCAGTAGCCAGGCGAAAACACATGGCGGAACGAAGCACCCGTCACGGTCACGGGACAACTGCTGAATTTTTGGGTGATGCTCCTTTTAAGCGATCCGTCGGTGTACGACATCTTCGTTCTCCACGAGGTGTGCGAGCCAATCGCGGGTGACGTCGGCGAAGGTCCTAAGCTATCTCGCAGTTGGAACAATATAAATGTATACATACACATATATTATACGGCTGTATGTATATGTATAATCATATGTACGTATATGTATATGTGTGTCCATGTATATGTATGTGGGTATATACATATATAGGCACATATGTTGTGTGCATATGTCTAAGTATGTATGTATGTATACATATCTCTGTGCATGGGAAATGTATAAAGGTGGATGGTCTTGTAGATGTACACTTATGTGTATGTGTGCTTGGATAAATGTATGTGCATGTGCACGAAAAGGAGCATATATCTAGTACTTAGGCCATGTGCGGGTGAAAAACACTGGGTGTACATGCGCATAAAATGCAATCAATTTAAGTGCATAAGGTGTGGGTGTATAAAATATAATAACATATATGCACTTCTGTTGCTCAAGCCCATGCTCATGGGAGTATACTCTAGTGTAGTGAGCAGGCCTGATTGATTGATTGGTTGAGATTAGCGAAGATCTAGCTTCGCCTGGGCCTTCCATATATATATGGCCCGGTCTGTGTCACTATTTATGACTTATTTTGTTCTCTGACACAGGATGCTTACCGTGGTGGCGGGATTGTCACATGGCGTTCTATGATGTAAGCATGCGGCATAATTTCTTTCCAGCCCGGCAAGAGCTGTGGCATTGGACCT